ATCTATCTATCTATCTATCTATCTATCTATCTATCTATCTATCTATCATATCTCTCTCTCTCTAATATATTCACCCATCATCTCTCTCTCTAATTATCTGTCTATCCAGCTATATCCTCCTACCCCCTCCTCCTCTTCCTATATATCTCATTGGCACCAACCAGCATGGGCAATATACTGCTAGGAGTTGCCACTGAACAACCCCTGGAGGACCCCATGGCCTTCACACTTGCACAATCTGACATGACTGGTAGAAGGAGGCCAGCCGTTTTGCTTTCCCCCCAATTGCAGTTACACTGAATGCAATTCTACTTCTATCATCAATAGCTCTGAGTAGTGAAAGGTAATCTTAATGGACATAGAAACTTTCCTTATGAATTTCTATATAATTCTATCAATAAATTACAGTGAACAATTGATAATTCTGATACTGAAAGTGAATAATGTCTTGCTGCAAGTGGTTAAACCTAAGCATATTAGAAAAATTCTCTATTTAGGATAATTCTTGTATTAATCAAATTAAACTCTGGGAAACCACCAAATAAAACAACAAATGTAAAAACAATGGGTATAAAAATATAAAAATCCAGAAAAATAAATATTGCAAAAATGGATTAAACAAGTCCCAAGCAAAGAGGATAAAAACAGCAATCTCAACAATGCAGTAATCTAAGCACACTTGCAACTATTGCAGCATCTCCATGGTCACATGATCAAACTTGGCAACTGGCATGTATTTGTGACAGTTCCACTGTCCTGGGGTGATGTGATCAGCATCTGTAACCTTCCTGGCCAGCTTCCAAAGAGCAAAGTCAATGGAAAAAGCAAGCTTCGCTCAATGACTGCATTATTCACTTAACAACTGCAGTAATTCACTAATTGACTGTGGCAAAAGATGTTGTAAAATGAGTCACAATTCACTTCACTGAGTTAGCAATGAAAATTTTGGGCTCAATTGTGGTTGTAAGTGGAGGACTATCTGTACACTGTTTCTTAACCTATAACTATGTCCCCAGAGAACTGACACTGCGGGAGACTCCAGACTGTTACAACTGTGGTGTACAATACATGTGAATCTGAACCTATCTCACAGTGCAAGGGCTTCAGGAGAATCTTGTGGCCACTCCTTGTATGATGTGCACAACACTTTTGTAATATCTCAGAGCTACTGAGCAGTAGTTCCTCAATATACATTTCAGATTAAGAAAACATTTCAACCCTTCCTTGCATTCCACACTTACTTCAAGAGATCTTTGTCCTTATTCAAGTGCTGGAAAAAAGATGGTTCACATATGAGCTGGTTTTCTTGACAAACCTGTTTACACGATTTTCCAGTTTCAGCCATTTTGACTTGAAGAGCACTTAACGGAGGCCACATCACTTGGCCATGACAAAAATCCTGAAACAACATATGAGCGGTTCCATGATTTCCTGAGGGAGAATTATTATGCTCCTATAAAAGGCTGGAAAGACTGCAGTGCCTAGCAGCAGGGAATCCCACAGCCCAGCATATATATTTTAAAAATGATAATCTTTCACATATAGATGAATACTAACAAATGTATTCCTTTTAAAAACGATATTCATACACACACACACACACACAACATTTGATGGTCTTCATCTTATAAAGTAACAGCGTAATTGAAAACAATATATCACAAGAACTGTAATTTTTAAAAGAAAGTTGAAATCTCTTTCCATCAATAATTTTTACCTCTATCCTTTTGATATACCACATAATCAGACAGAATGTGAAGAAAACTGGCAAAGTTCAAAGCCCCATCTTATAAATGTCTAACAATCAGTTCTTTAGGCTAGGAAATTTGAAGGATAAAACAGAGACAACTTCATTCCACTTAAATATTTTATCCTCTTAGGCAAACATTACCTAACTGACAATCCACAATGAATGCTTAATTAGGTCTTGCCCAAGGGTCTGCAACCTTAAACACTCAAAGAGCCGTTTGGACCCATTTCCCACAGAAAAGGAAACATTGGGAGTCAATAATTTAACAACCGGTGTGACTGGGTGGGTGTAGCCTACTCAACGTCACTCACTCCCACCCAGTCACCTCCTGCTTTGGAATACGGAGCGAGTCTCCATCCCCTGCCATCACCCTTACCTTCTCAGGCCAGGCCAGGAGTGATGGGGAGGGAAGGGGCCAGCCAATGGTGGGAACAGCTGATAGGGAGCTGCAGCAGAGGGCCGAAAGAGCCACATGTGGCTCCAGAGCCACAGGTTGCAAACCCTTGGTTTTGCCTAACCCTATATATTTATCATATATTTATCAGTCACTGCAAATATTAATTAAATATTGCTGCTCTGAATTATGCAACAATGACAATATAGCAGATATCTGCAACACTGTGCACAACCTTCACTATTACTCTAATTGCCCAAATATATTCATGTAGAAAAGAAGCAGGCTCATTTATTCCAGTTTCAAAGGACTACTTGGGAATATCAAAGCCTGCTAAATGTCATCCTCTGTTTTGTTTTGTTTTTCCAATTGCCAGAAAATTTTGTCCCAATCCTTCTTCCTTCTAGGATCGAACCTGCCTTGAATAATGGGCAGACGAGATCTCATCAGCACTTATCTTTCAATTAGGATACTGCTCTGCTGGTTACAACTCCTATTTATTTATTTGATGAGGGCAAAGCAATTGGAGGCCATAGTGGTGCAGTGGTTAGAATGCATTATTGCAGGCAAATTATGTCCAGCCAGGAGTTCAATCCCTTCGATCCTGACTGGTTTAAGGTTGATTCACCTGTCCATCCTTCTGAGGTTGGTAAAATGACAGCCTAGATTGTTGGGGGCAATAGGCCGACTCTGTAAACTACTTAGAGACAGCTGTAAAACACTATGAAGCGGTATATAAGTCTAAGTGCTATTGCCAAGTGCTATTTCTGTAGCACCAGTCTTTCATTTCTCTTTGCTTCTCCTCCAAGATACTAAACTGTTTGCTGCAAGTTGGTTACCTGTTGCTAAACAAGGTGCTACTGAATTCTGCAGAATGACTGCTTACAAAAGCAAATACTTTCCACATATGGAAAATGCAGAGATGGAGATAGAGCTGAATCGCTAGCAGATCTACCTTCTATTTCTGGGTTGAATGATAATAGCATGTGCAGAAATTGTGTGCAGTAAAACTACCAAGAACTGTTGTGATACCAATTGTCCTACATGAAACTGTATTGAGCAAAGTATTCTTTACAGAGTCCACTTTGTTTTGACTCTTGGTATTATCTAAGAAATCATATTATTTGATTCTAAAGAAAAAAAGAAATCTAGTATACATAATGACCCTACTTAACGTTTGGGGCAGAGAAATTGTTAGTATTTTGTCTACGGTATAGTACAAATATTTAACTATAAATCAGCACACTGTAACATCCGAAGCCAAGGAATATTACTGAAGTGAAAAACAGCTTAACTAGAGAGTCAAGGTTGGATCTAAAGTAGGATATAATGTGTGTAACTGATTTCAATATCTGCAATTACTCAGCAATATTTAATAGGGGAAATTGAATCAGGTAATTCAATATGTCAAAAATCTATATGCATTTTTTTTAATGGGAAAGTAGCTTTGAAAGCATATTCTATTGGTGATTATGACCCCAGACAGAGATCTGATTAGAGGTGCAGGCATGGAATAAATTTCCATGAATCCTCTCTTAAATCTTCAGGTATATTCAAAATAAAGGAAGAGAAAGGGTCGGTATATCAACTGCTCATAGAAGACAGTTAAAAGCTAATTTGGTTCTGAATAATAACTCAATTAAAAAGAAATTATGAACTATGATTTCTTTTTAAAAGTGAAATTGTTGCATGCTTACGAACAAAGGGAATGACTATTGATGTAGAAACCATACCTGTTTCTCAATGAACACATTCATTCTCTGAAGCATTCCTTCACACGTGAATTCAAAAGGCAAGTAAGGTTCAATCTGTAATATAAATACATTTCAATTGTGCAATACAGAGCACACTGTTCAAAGCGCATCAGTCTGCTAAGTAGTTGAACATATGCTCAGTTAAATTCATTAGTAAATTCTGAATGGTCACCAAGAGTTGATGGCATGACCAACAGGAGGAATTCCTTCTTACAACCTTAGCTGTACTGGGATCTTTTGAGAAGAGGAGAAAGAAAACAAAAGGCATTCCCATTGTGAAAGCTAACGTTCACTTAAGTAATATTGGATTACTTCAGTAAGTCCCAGATTTCTTGGGATTACACTTTCTAATACTGTCAGTCAGGTGCCTGGGAATTATGTCAGATGTAATTCCAATACATGTAAAGAGCACGTGCTTTGAGAAGCCTATCATTCTCATGTATAATTCACTTTTTTCCAATTGGAAATATTCTGGTTCCCAACACAGCAGGATACCCAGAAAACACAGGTAGTCTTCAATTTATGAGCACAATTGAGCCCAAAATTTCTACTGTTAAGGCAGTTGCTAAGTGAGTTGTGCCCCATTTACGACCCTTTTGCCACAGTTATTAAGCAACTCACTGCAGTTCTTAAGGGAACCATGCAGTCTTTAAGCTAAAATGGCTTCTCCCAGTTTGCTTGTTGGGAAGATTACAAACAGTGATCATATGACTCCGGGAAAGTCAACTGACATAAATACATGGCAGTTGCCAAGTGCCTTAATTTTGATCACATGATCATGGGGATACTGCAATGGTCATAAGTGTGAAAACTGGTCTTACAGTCATTTTTTTCAGCCCTGTTGTAACTTCAAATGGTCGCTACATGAATAATTGTAAGTGGAGGACTACCTGAATTACAGCAACAATATCTGCAATCCAGTATTTTTATTAAAATCTCATTTATAATTTTATGCTTTCTCTAATATCCTTATTCCAAGTATCTAATCTTTAGTACTGTAGCAACTTGTTTCAGTGCATAATATGGCACTATTTCCCTTAAATAAATACCCATGAAGTTAGAGATATATATGGAGTTACATAAAAATGTCATGTTTTAGAGATATCCGATGAGCATTTCCTCCCTCCCTCCCTAAAATGATCAATGTGAGTATTAAAAAAAGTCACCCCACATATTTTTTCCAATGCAACTTCTCTTCCAAATAATGGAAAATACTTGACACTGTTTTGTTTCTGCAAATTTTAATATATAGGTAGCCCCACTTAACAAACTTAATTGGGACTAGTAATGCCACTGCTAAGCAAAATGCTAAGTGGGAAGTCGCATGACTGCGACTGGGCCTTCTGAATGGAAAGAGACAAGACCAGTCAAGTTCACATCTTTGACTTTGTTTGCCTACTTTGGAATACTTACTGTTTTGCCTTTGGAATACTGGGGATCCCCTCTCTTTGGAATACTTGTCTTGTATACATTGAAAGCATAACGTGAGCATGGTTACATTGCTTTCAGTGTATGCAAAAAAAAAAAAAACACCTTAACTCTCTTGAAATCTCTCCAATCTCCCCACTCTGCAGGGGGAGGTAGGAGCCAGGCAAAGGAGAGATGACCTCCAGAAACCCCTTGCTTTCCCCCCCTTTCTCCTTTGCAGAGAAGAGAGTACAAAGAGGAAGTTTTCAGGAGAGTACTATAAGCTGTTTGTGTAGCAAGCCCACAGCTCTCAGCCTTGGGCTGTGTAGAAGATCAGATTATTCTCTTGCAATCCCCTTTTCTCCAATGTTCCTCTTCTGAAAGGGGTGAAGCAAAAAACACCACAGATCAGGCACAAGATAATGCATACTGAATATAATGGCAGCCACATGACTGAGGGAGGCTGCAAAAGTCATATGTGGTGGTAAATGATCTGTAAAGTTATTTAATTTCAAATGGTCACTGAATTAATGGCCAGTAAGCAAGGATTACCTATAATTCATATTATCTTAAAATTATTATATTTGAATTCTATGTTACTTGCTACTTAAGGTATTTTTTATTCATAAGAAATGTTTAATGCTACTTCATCTTCCAACCTTTCTTTGGGTTTATAATATTAAAGCAAAGGTTTTCTAGAATGCTTATCTTTGTTTGGTAAAGCTTTTTTTCTCAAAAAAAAAAAAAAAAAAAAACCCTTACAATACAGCCTAGCATGTTTGTTTCATTGTAAAACACTGATGAAGAAGATAATTATCTTTATTAACCTTTTGGCTGGAAATTGCTTTCACGGCCTGTTCCACTTCAGAAAGATCATTGATATTTACTGTCCAAACATGAGGTTTCCCAATGTAGACTTCAGCATAGGGATGTTGAGATGTCAACTGAAAGAAAAGGGGGAGAAATGCCATATTTTTAGAGTTTATGTTCGCTTAGTAACTTTCAAAGTTGTATATTTAGAAGGCTTTGTTTTTTGAAATCTTGGCTATCAAAAAAAAATACTTGTCATACTTTTAGGAAACCCTGGAAAGAGAAGCAGTTTTAAGCACTTTTTTTCTTCTTTTTCTGAGTGTCTTTGAGTCAGACTTAACTCCTGGTTGGCTGTCTGGACAAATCCCTGCAATTGGCTTGGAAGTTCAAGGAACTCTTTTTGAGCAGAATGTGACCCAGCCAAACTGATATTCAGAATATCTTGATTGTTCCAGTTTTGAGCTGAAATTAAAGCTGGAGAAATCATCTAAGGTAGGGAGGACACGTCCTGGCCTTCCATTGCATGACTTGTGAGTTTGTGATCTGCTCAATGCCTCCTTATCTACTGAGGTGTCACCATGCTTGAATTCAAGGGTGGTATGTATGTAGTGGGCCTCCCTATGCCTCCAACACATTCTTTGCACTTCTCTTGTACTTCCCTTCCCTTGGCTGTAACTATTTAAAAAACACCACTGCCAAGGGTTTATTCTTCTTTTTTGTTTTCACCTGATAACCTCCACCTACAATATGGCTTTTTTTTTTTAGATCTGTCCCAGAAGAAAACATGTGTTCAGTCCAGACATGGTCTGGCTGAACACTTTGTGGCATTCCTAACTTTGTCACCAAGAAGCCAAAAGACTGGGGGGGTAATCTTAGCTTTGAAGGAAGTCTGTTCAGTCATTTATGGTGAAGCAGGCCAACTTTATCTGATAAGCAGGTCTGTCTGGGAACAGAGATGTTCTCAATATGGCTGCTTCTACAAGCCTTAATAGCTGGAGAAGTTAATAATGGAGCTGAGACAGGGCATTAAGCCTTAAGTGGTTCTTTAAAGCATGAGTGATCAAAACTAGCTTTCAAAAAATGGTTGAACAGCAATTCCATCATGTCTACTGAAGAAGATTCAATGGGATGGAAACCAATTATGGTAATTGTTGCTGGATCAGCCTGATTAAAAACCAGAGCATTTTCAAAGTAAATTATATCTGTCTATCTCAGATTTGAACTCTGTCAATAGCATGGCCTGATAACAACAATACATACTATTGTATTTCAGTACAGGGTTGGGTTAGAAGATGTGTTTCAAAGGACACTGTTCATATATCTAATCAACAGTAATTACAAATAAAAACATACCTCTCTAAGAGTTGGCTTGCCTTTGAAGAAGTCTGTGTTTTTGCTGCTTTTTGGTGGGTTAAACTTTGGGTTCAAAAATGCACATCCATTTGCAATAGCCTCCAAAGGTGCGGGACCCTCATATGGGAAGCCAAGACCCACGAAAAGCTGTAAAACAGAAACTCCCAAGTTAGGTTTTTCTATATTTACATCTTGAGAAAACTTGCTTGAACCCAAGCGGGTGGTGGGCTGATGCTGGTTCGGACTGGTTCTAGCAAACTGGTAGTTCTGACCATCAGCTGGCTCCGCCCACCCACACCCATCCTATCCGGTCCTATATTTCCATCTTTCTCAGCTCAACTGATTCCCGTGGCACAGATTTCTGCGCCTCAGTTGTTCTACTTACCAGGCCTACCCTAGAAGGTAAGCTGTTGAGGTTAAAATCAGTGTTTTTTGAGCACTGAACGCGCTCACCAAACCAGTTGTTAAACTGGTTGCAGCCCACCACTGAACCTAAATCTGTATTTTTGAAGAGTACTGAGAACCTGAAAACTAAATAAGACTCATTTCTTTCCCCAAATCTTTCATCATCTTTTGCAAGTTCTGTTCCAAAATCTTTTGCAATTTCTTGCTTTTGCTGTCAAAAAGAGGCTTTTAAGGTAGCCAGGATTTAGGTTAAGCTTGGCTGGGTTTGAGAATGTTGTAAAGCAGAAAATAACTTGATGGCAAGAGGGGAAGATCTTGTATCTTTTCAGAAAAACAACCTTCCAAGAATGGACAGTGCTGTTTTTTGTGACACAAAAAGAGGAAGAGAAATAATTCTGCTTTGTTTCGTTGTATTAATTTTCTCAATAATCATTTCGGAAAATAACTCAGACAGGAGAAGTAACAAACCAGTATTACTACAGTATTCAAACCTCTTACAAAAATGTTCAGCCAAGAAGCTTCAGTTGCTCAATCCAAAAATAGCCTTAAAATATGTTTATAAATAACATTAAAATAGGACTGCTATTAAAGAACTGAGACTGATAGAATTATTCCTTAATTAACAACTCTAAACCTTATGTAGCCCAGATTAGAAATTAGTGTGATGTGTATTTTAGTACAAGTTTACTTAGTTTGTATTTGGCAAATAATTTACCACAGTGATCTTTAAGAATTGTATTTTTGTAAATTTAGTAACAGCTTTGCAAAAAAATGTACAAAAGTGGAAATAGGTGGAAAATATTCACAAGTTATGTGTGATACATATATGCAATTAATTAAAAATAATAGATTATAATAGGGCAATTTGATTTAAATGTATTTGGAAAAGTACCCCAAATGTACAGAATGCAGATTTTGCAATTTAATTTAATTTTGCTTAAGCCATTTTTTTGTCAAGTCGCCCCCAGTGCTGTGGATTGTTAAATGTTCATATCATTCAAGGAGTCAAAAAAGTTCCAACTACAAACAGTAGGTGGCAGCAAAGTTTACACGTGAATTTTTCCACAGGGGCACAATTTCATGGAAAGTTGTATTAAAAAGCTATTCTTAGAAATTAATGTATTGCAAGAGAATTGAACTGAAAACACAAATGATTCATAAACAGGAAATACAACAATAATTACTGGGATTTAATTCATTTTTAAACTGTTTCCTGAACACTAATATACTACGAAAATTTGTAGTGAGAAAAGAGGATAAAACCACAGGATTATAGCTGCCATCTGATTGTAAGACGTCACAATGCTTACGATAGATATATTTTATTAAGACGCCAAGAATGACATTTTGACTTTGTAAGAATGTGTGCCAAATAAAATGCAGAATGGTAGGTAGATCAGAATTGTTTGTTATCCCCCTGTATTTTACTCCCTCATACACACATTGGTTTAAGCAACACTGTAATACACAAAATTATCCATTTCTGAATTGTTGACTGAAATGTCTGATTGAAATAAAAAATTAGGAAACCTCAGACTTTTTTATATTAATTGCAATTGAAACATGGCTGAAGGGCATTAAAATATCACCAATAATTTAGTGCTGATTTGGTTTTAATTAGATGCAGACATTAATATCATTGGTTGAATAAACATTGTTTGTTACTTCAGTCCAGAGATATTGTTTTCTCTTCTATACTGTCAATATATTAAGGAAAATCTCCTTTTTACTGAACCCGGGAGCTTTGCCTTTTGACAGACCAAGAGAAGATTCTGTCACCATTTAACAATAAATACAAACCCAATTGCTCTTCAGTCATTTTAAGTAACTATTGCAGGCTATAAAACCTATTTTAGAAGTTATTACATTATTCACTATGTCAGCCCGATCAAGCCAAAGGTACCACATTGATGTACAACTTCATTTTAAATGGAAAGGTTTTGTTTATACATTATCATTTAAAAAAGCAACCCCGGTTAGTCATGCTGCAGGAGTGATCTTTTAGAATTAATAAAACCCACGCCAACTTACGTAATACAAAATCTCCAAAACATTATTAGTAATGTCCGTGCTGTGAAGGGATAAACCACAGTAGAACTTTATCCAGATTGTATTTAGGTTAAATTACAAATTACTCAGGGTTCAAATTAGTCCCCAAGACCTAAATTCCTTCTTTGGGGATTTTCAGAAACTGCATCCACTTACCACTTCCAAACTTTAAAGTGTAGGATTTCAAAGACAATCAATGCAAACTGAAAAATATGGGATTCATGGTTTCCCAATGTGTCTGGCCATACTGAAAGCCACGCAAAATTGTTCTAAAAACAGGAAGAATCTGGGTCCCCCCCCTTTTCTCCCATCATCTTGGAAAAGCGACAGGGTGTTCTGAGGAACACCATGGATATTTTGCACAACATTTCAGGAACTTCAGGAAATGAACAGGGAGAGATGGCTATAGAAGAAGTGATCTTCAATGGTTTGAAAAGCAAAACTTGAATACACCGGACAGAGTCCTCCATCTGTGAAGAACTTATTTTCCTAAGGAAAATTCTAAATGTTTACTGATAGTGTTTGCTTCATCTTTGAGCACTTGGGTCAATTATACTCTAATCAGAGAGGCAGAATGTCAAACTTAAAAAAAACCCAACCTCTTAATGCATCTAATTTTTAAAATGACCCAGGCCTTACTAGGGGAGGATAAGGGGATATAATTTCTTGGAGGTGTTTTGGAGGCATCTGGATGGCAAAACCACTATGATCCATTCCCAGCTGAATATCCGCTGTGCAAGTAAGTCCCAACGAGGTGATTGTCTTGCAATGTGATGACCCAGGGCGCGGCACAAAGTCAACACAGCCAGATAATAAATAGGAATCCCTTTGTTAGCTCCAAACTTTACCCCCCAAGGTCCTGGTTACCTTCTGGTCTGGGAGAAAAAACTCTCCCAGGAATAGCCTTTGGCTGCAAAGATTCAAGTCCAAAGCATTGTCAACAAAAACTGTAACTATAAGTCCAATCAAGGCAAGATGAGATAATTAATCCGGCAGGGCAAGATAAGGAGTTCCAGAAGTACAATAACACGGCAGTAAATCAACCCAGTTGGGAGGATGCCAGGAACGCAGATAACCAGTCAACACAAGATAAAGTCAGGTTTGTTTCCGGCAAACAGAGCTCTCAGCTGCCTCTCCTTTAAACTCTCTTCCCAGGTGTGCCTAGTGAAGAGAATCAGGGCCCTTTCCTCCCTCTGTAAGCCACGTTGCTCTCTTCTCCATTCCCCCCTGCATGCCCTAGGATGAAGAGAGGGTGGGCCTGGGTCTTCCTCTGAACTCCCTCTCCCTTGTTCTACCTCTTCCCTGCTCTGCCCAGCCTGACTTTGCCCTTCCCCAGTTTCCTCCATGGCCAATGGAGCCACACTTCTGCTCCCTGTCAGCTGTTCATCTTCCTCCTTGGATTCAGATTCCGACAGGGGCATGACATGTGGATTATCTGCAGTAACTTTACTCTGGGATTTCTGAGGAAGTGAACAGGGTTCTCTGTAGCTCTGGCTCTGCTACTTTGGATGGACCATGATACTTCCTGATACTGAAAACCTCTGGAGATGGGGGTGGGATGGGGGCTGGGCCAAGGTGTTGATAAATGAATGAAGGGATGCTATTGTCCTCCCCAAAGAAGGCAGCGGTGTGCTTCCTTTTCAAGAAGTGATTACTTCTGGGTAATTCTGACTGGTCTTCATCTTCAGGTTGATTAGGAAGTAATGGGGCAGCAGCTGCAGAAGGCCCTGGAATAAACATATTACCTAGACCTATTTCACTCAGGCTTCTGGCCCAGGTATGGTATGGATACAGCACCAACTGCAGTGGTGGATTATCTCTGGTGAAACGAGAATAGGGAGTGTATGGTCCTCTCTATATTACTTGTCCTCTCATCAGGCTTGAATACCGACAACTACAGGTAGTCCTCGACTTATGACCACAATTAAGCCCAAAATTTCTGTTGCTAAGTTGTTAGTTTTTGTCCCATTTTATGACATTTCTTGCCACAGTTGTTAAGTGAATCACTGCAGTAGTTAAGTTAGTAACACGGTTGTTAAGTGAATCTGGATTCCCTGTTGACTTTGCTTGTAAGAAGGTCGCAAAAGGGGATCCCATGACCCCAGGACACTTCAACCGTTGTAAATATGAGTCAGTTGCCAAGTGTCTGAATTTTGATCACGGGACCATGGGGATGCTGCAATGGTCATAAATGTGGAAAACACTTAGGTCACTTTTTTCAGCGCCTCTGTAACTTTGAACAGTCACTAAATGAACTATTGTAAGTCGAGGAATGGTATCCTTGTGCCCCTGAAAGTTGAGAGTGAAGGATAGTGTTCTGCACTATCTTCTCCTTTTAAATGGGGCCCTTCCAGTCATTGATGGTAGAGAAAGACTGGGCCCGTAGGATCCTCAGTTGTGGGGTGTCACAAGGCACCCTGTTCTCCTTCCTTCTATTCAACATCTACATGAAGTAGGTGACAGGTCCTTGGTGCTTTCTGAGCTTGCTTGTTTTCTTGCAGATGTTTCATTACCCTAACTAGGTAACACCATAATTGCTAGTAAGGAGTGCTGCTTGCTGTCTGTTTATATTCAATTTATTTTCAATTTCATTGTACACGTTGTGCATTGACAATAAATGTTTGATTGATTGAGTCTGGTATCTTGTCTGTCTGTGGTCATTTGCTAACATGGCAAGGGTGTCATCTGTTAGCTGATAATACTCAACTTCAATTCCATCTCTGAGCTAACCAGTGATGCCAATGAAGTGTGGTCCAGGTGCCTAGAGGCTGTTTGGATCTTCAAAACAAGGCATTTTGAGAGCACACTTAAAAGAAAGGTGTAATTGGAGCCATGGTGGCACAGTGGTTAGAATGCAGCACTGCAGGCTACTTCTGCTGACTGCTGGCTTCCAGCAGCTCGGGAGTTTGATCCTGACTGGCTCAAGGTTGACTCAGCCTTCCATCCTTTCGAGGTTGGTACAATGACGACCTAGATTGTTGGGGGCAATATGCTGACTCTGTAAATCGCTTAGAGAGGGCTGTAAAGCACTGTGAAGAGATATAGAAGTCTAAATGCTATTGCTATTAAAAATACCAATTTCTCCTAACAATGTAACATCAACATTTGAGGAAGAAACTTCCGTAAGCACGGAATTAATTTTGAAGGCACCTGACTGAAAAAACACAGTTGAATTGAATTGCAGCCTTGAGTATGTATTAAGTATACTACATTACCTGACAGAATGAAAAAAAAACAAAACGCAATAGCAATAGCACTTATGAGCATCCTCATTTTGTGAGACCCGAACTGCCAAACTGCTGGCAGCAGGTGATCAACGTAAGTAGCAATGGGGTTATTATGGAATAGGACTGTGCGATATTTTGGATTTGATTCCCCCCAAGTGCTTCAAGACATAAAGGCCTATAAATTAACCTCTATCTGCAGGAACCACATTTAAAAGCAACCACATCCTCCTCACCCGCTCCCCCCCCAATCACACAGTATAGTTGTAGAAAGCTACTATGTTCACCCTTCTGTATATTCCAAAGGACTTTTTTTGGAACTGAACATATGATGGAGCCATGGAGCGCAGAATTCCAAGTAGTGAAGATTAAAATAATTTAAAGTAAAGTTGGATCATACCCATTTCGACTTTTGAAAAAGCCAGCGAACTTACTTTTGTTCCCCTCAGCAAGAATTGTAAATCTCGGCCACTGAGAATCCCATGGTTTTTAACATAGCTGGGCATATGGACAGCACTTGTGCCATGGACAGTCCCATGAACTTCTGTATAGGCATGAATGACATCCAAATAAGACTTTTTATCCTAGAAAGAAAGAAAAAACCCCCACACAAATTAGGTAGAGGAATCAACAGAGCATCTGTGTGCAATTGTTTGTTAAGTCAGCAGTGATTTACCTATTATAGGTAATCCTTGGCTTACAACCATTCATTTAGTGACCGTTCAAAGTTACAACGACACTGAAAAAAGTGACTTATGGCAATTTTTCACACTTATGACCATTGCAGCATCCTCACATGATCAACATTCGGGCACCTGGCAACTGGTATGTATTTATGAAAGCTGCAGTGTCCTGGAGTCATGTGATCACCTTTTGTGACATTCTTACAAGCAAAATCCATGGGGTAGTCAGATTCACTTAACGACTGTGGCAAGAAAGGTTGCAAAACTCACTTCATAACTATCTTGTTTAGCAATTTAAATTTTGGGCTCAATCGTGGTCATTAAGTCAAGGACTACCTGAAGTCAGAAAGAACCAGAGAAGAACTGCTTTTTCAAAATATGCAGAGTTAAATAAACGTATGGTGTTAATTTCGCGTCACTGCCTAATATAATTCCAAAAAGGGGATATTCCTGTTCAGCAAATTTACAGCCAAGCTTTATTTAACCACTTAGCCAAGCACTATGGAGAAAATTTAGACATTTCAGATGGCTCTTGAAGTCTAGGAAGAACATTGGTCTTTCTTGTATTCTATCTAGAAGGCAAATCTTCTTGTAACATAAAGAAAAATAGAACAAATTCCCTTGCCCTTGCAGACTAGCTGGGAAAAAATAAACACTGAACAAATTTTGGAAGGTTCATTGCTAAACATTAGGATTTAAAGAATCACAAAGTTGATTCATTATGTACCATGTATATTCTCAAGAGTGATCCACCTGATTGTTCTTCCAAAGAATGTTAATGATAGGATCGCCAACAGAACAAAATAAACCATTTTAGTTTCATCATAACATCCCCTGAAAGTTATCATTCACTTTTTAAAAATTAAAATACATTTTGTCTTACATCTGTATTTTGAGATGATTAAAGCTTTTGTTAAAACTTAAGATCCTTAAAGGAATTATGACAATGTTTTTTTTTTTTTACATTCAGAGAAAATGACTGAATTTTATTAGAATTAAGAAATCCCTATTCTTTTATTATTGTATAATTGCACCATTGACACTGCCTGAATCTTTTGGAGTACAATGGCAAGTGCCCATAATTTATGTTTAAATGCCTCAAAAATAAAACAGATATAAGTATAAAATGATCCTTAACAATAAATTATATTGACTTGGCAGCAACAGTAAGATAATATAATTTCCAATCTTATCAGTTAGAACTATGTCCTATTATTTATAAAACAAATAAATACCGTATTTGCCGGCGTATAAGACGACTGGGCGTATAAGACGAGCCCCCAACATTTCCACTCAAAATATAGTTTTTGTTATATACTCGCCGTATAAGACGACCCCCACACTTGGAGGCATGCTTTTCAAGGCAAAAAAGTCGTCTCATACGCCGGCAAATACGGTAAGTTGTAACACTTGGGGTATTCTGGATATAATTCTTGATTGACACCCCCCAACCCCTTTCCCCCAAACTTACAAAGCCACCAAAATGCTTTAGAGAGGCAGCTTCGCCTTTCTCAGGCTGGCACTCAATTCCTCTCCCTTTCTTTGTGACAGCCCCCGCGTGCGTGCCATTGGGACTCCAAGGGTGGGGGATGGACAGCTGCCAACTCTCTCTCTCTGTGTGTGTGTGTGTGTGTGTGTGTGTGGGTGTGTGTGTGTGTGTGGTGTGGAGGTTAATTCCGGCTATCTCTGGCCTCCGCTCGGTTTTAAAATCGCTTGGCCGGTTCCCAAGTCTCAAGCGCGCGCTGGCCGGGAGACGCGGCGCCGGGTGGAAGCTCGGTGCAGGGGAGGCAGATCTTTCTCTCTTAAGCGGGGAGGGGAGGAGGGGACAAGAGGAGGGACGGGACGGGACAGGGGGTGGGAGGAGGGCGCTCGCCTTCTTCCACCGCCCACCGGACCATTTTCTTCCCAAGGGGACCCTGGAAAGCAGCTCGGGAGCCGGGTGGCCCTGCCCAGCGGGGTCCCATCAGGAACTTCCTGAGGACACCCCCCCCGCCCCAAGCACAGCCCTCCCGGTCTTTCAAAGAGGAAGGGAGAAGCGGGAGGAGCAAATTGCCGCCCCCCGCCCCGCTGCCCAGAAGGAGGGGCGCCACAGTCCACCCCCACCACCTTCTCCCCCCCCACTCCCCGGGCCATTACACGGCTCGGGGCTGGCTGGGCGAAGTGGCCCCACCAGAGACCCTCCCGCTCCACCCCCACCCCACCTCCAGATTGGCCTCCACAAGCTCCCCGAGCCGGGCAGAGGGTGGGTGGGTGGGTGGGAGGAGGAGGAAGAGAGACTCCGGCTGGGCTTGAAGGGGCTTCGCAAGTTGCGGAGCTCCGCCCCCGTCGCTCTTGCACCGAGTGACAATGTATTTACCGGCGTATAAGACGACCCCCCCACTTGGAGGCATGTTTTTTAGGGCAAAAAAGTCGTCTTATACGCCGGCAAATACGGTAAATGTGTTCGGATTATATACTGGCAAGTATCAAAAGCAGCTCTTCACTAGAACAACAATACAATTTTGTCTGCACTTTCCAGATTTGTTTTTGCAGGACCCTCTTTAAAAATCAATGTACTTAATAGACAAATCATGATTATTTATAAAACAGTACACTTTAATCTCCTTTTGGGGTATTTTTTTTACATAAGGAAGTTCGTAGGCATACTTTGAACTGAGTTGCAAAATTCTGATTAATGGATGCTAGAATAGAATAGAATAGAATAGAATTCTTTATTGGCCAAGTGTGATTGGACACACAAGGAATTTGTCTTGGTGCAAATGCTCTCAGTATACATAAAAGAAAAGATACATTCATCAAGAGTCAAGGATACTTTTGTAGATTCAATATTATATGGTGTCCAGGTTTAATGTGAGGATACTGCAGGAGACAATTTCACACTTACAGAATATATTTCTGTACACTGCTCTGAAATTGTGAACTCTGAAAATGTTCAGGAGGAAACTGCAAACAGATAATTTTATTTCTAAACCATAAAGCAATTTTAGAGCTCATTATGTATGAATGCAGCAGAAGCTGAACATCATAATTATAGCATTCTCAGCATGTCCTCACAACATATCCAAAAATACCTACTGACCTAATGAAGCAATAGAACACAGACAAAGGAATAATTAGTTGGACTGATTATAACATAATGTTCTTGATTTGATAATTCACTCTCAGTCCAAACTTGATCATGCATCTGTAGTCTGCCTCATTTTCTATTCCATTCCCATAAATTACAATTTTTTCATTCTGATGTAATTTGCAGAAAAATATGACTAAGCTAAGATACCAAATTTGTAAATAGAGTAAGAAAAAGAGGTGAAAATATATCACTTATTCGTAAATTGATGTCATAAACCACATTAGATTGCTTATTTCTGAATGGCGTCATATTTGAAGTCCATTAATGTTAAATGAGCAACACTATGATTTAATGAACCCTCAAAAAACTGAGTGTTAAGTTTGTTCAGTGAAGAATCGAATAATAAACCAAGGATTAAGGGAACATTAAGGAACTGGGGTCCTTTTTCACTACTGAAAGTTTTTTAAAAAAAAAAGGATCACAAGAAACTCTTTAGACATGTTGGGTAGAAACATAGATAGTTCTTGACTTACAATTACAATTAAAGCCCAAATTTCTGTTGTTAAGTGAGATATTTGTTAAGTGAGTTTTGCCCTTTTTTCATAACCTCTTGCCACAGTTGTTAAGTGAATCACTGCAGTTGATAAATTACTAATCCGGTTGTGAAGTTAATCGAACTACCCCACTGCCTTTGCAGAAGGTCGCAAAAACTGATCACATGACCATGGGACACGGCAATGGTCATAAATATGAACCAGTTGCCAAGCATCTCAATTTTGATCACATGATCGTGGGATACTATAAAGGTTATAACTTTGAAAAATGGTCATAAGTCACTTTTTTCAGTGCCATTGTAATTTTGAATGGTCACTAAATGAACTGTTGTAAGCCAAGGATTACCCACATTCCCAAAACAAAATGAAATACCCATACTGCTTAGGTGCATGAGATTTTAAAAAATAGGTCTCCAACACTAAACACATAGAACAGCAGTGACTAGATGTAGTTTGTCAATTTTCTTGAGAACTATAATAAACTTCCATTTACAAAAAAACCTTTTTTATCATCATGCATGCAATTTTTATTATTTCATGCTTTTTATTTCCTCTACACTTAAAAATGCCTCTTTATAAAACTTCTTTTGGTTGACCTAAGACTGAAAGGGATTTTTAATTCTCTCTTTGAAGGCAATTTTAACAGAAAAATATAATCCTGAGAATTTGGAAAGACGATAATTGGAAATTCAGTATCAGTAAGTTATAAAATCAGAATGGATTGACAAAGGGATGGATGAAACTTTTCCTTGTATATTTTTAGCTTGTAAGCATGCTGTGTTATTTATATCATTTACCCGGAAGCCAATTCTAAAAAAAACCCAACAAACCAATCAGATCATTCTGTGTTTTCCCCAGAAGAAAGAGGTTTAAAAGGTAAGTCAGAAATTTTTGGAGGAGAAAGGGGGACCAGAATTTTAAAGTATTCATAATCCATTCTAAAAGTAAGGATACCATTCCAAAGTTCTATTCACTTTTTGCCTATAAAGAACTTAATACTCTGCCAGCATTGTGACTTGAGCTGGAATTGGCCAATACTGTAATTGTATGTCCTTAACTGTTCTATAATTGTTCTTACAGAGAATAATTCTTACAGAGTAGGACATACATGTCTAATGGTTGGTTGAAGATTAAATAAACTTTAGAAATGGCAGAATGTGGATTAAAATGTTTTTCCTAACATTTTCCTAACATTTAATGCAGCCAGATGAGTAGAAAAAAAAATTATAGCTCTTAATGACATACATTTCAAAATCTCATAAGGGCATAAGCTCAAGCCTAAATCCATTTCTGGCGTTACTTTTCAAATCTGCTTATTTCTTTCTAGAGCAATACTATACCTTCTTGAAAAAATATTTCCCAAGAAACACGTGTGCATACCATTTTTCCACAAGTATCAGCTGGATGAAATCTTGTGCAAACATTCTTAGGATGTGCTTTAATAGAATATTATGTACATATCTCCCTCCTATCTTTCATCACTTTAGAAAATTTAAAGCAACAGAATTGATTTAACAGAAGTTTTTTTTAACATCAGATACAGAATGTGAAATTTTCCACACTTGCAGAATTGGAAGGGAATTATAGGAACTGAAATACAGTGAATCTGGAGAAATGGTTAGGAACGACTATTTTGAATACTTTTAATAAAACCATGATTTTATCTTTGTTACAGAAATATGGTAGATTGATTTGGGGAAAGAAAAACTAATAATTTTAAAACATTAAAGCAATAAAATAAATAGTACTTACTGTAATATATCAACATATATTACAGATGATTTTGTACTTTATTAATTCTAGCAACTCAACAGATATATTCTACAGAATACTAAGATGACTAAGCTATCTAATGTGTTTTCTTTAAATGTAATAGGGAAAAATTAGATGACATTTGGGAAGAAATTGCTAAACAGACAGGTCACTGATAGATGCACGTTAGAGCCAATGGTCAATCTTCAGAAACAAAGAAGGAAACAAATAAAAAGAGATATAACTATTTTCAAAGCATAATGTGATATAGGACCTAAATTTTTTAGATATAAGCAACTGTAAATGTATGGTTCCCCCCCCTTTTTTTATACTATATATACTTATGCATATATTAATAGTGTACTGTAGTTTTAAATTATGTGTCTTGGTTTTGGACGATAAGTAAATAAATATATAAAAGATTCTAGATGTGAGAGCCAGTTTGGACATAAAATTCTTAAAAAGTATCATCAAATTAAAAGTCTTCAACTTTGTGTTAGCTCAACTGAAACAAATTTACTTAATCTGGCAACTCACCTTCCAGAAGTTATCAACTTTCCCATAAACAAGTGATTGATCCTGCCTTTTAATGACATTGAAGTGTTTGATATCACTGGAATTCAGATACTGTTCCACAACAAATCCAAGGAAACTGTTATCTGGAGTGTGAGCTGCAGATTAAACAACAAAAGTGTATTCGTGCATCATTCACTGTAATGCTTGCAAAAAAAAAAAAGGACAACTTACAGCCTGTAAACGTGTGGAAGATGCATTGACACAAGTTCAAACATGAGCTGATTTCAACTGTTGAACTACATCCTTAACAGGAAATAATTGTAATCTTATTTATCATCTTATTTATCTGATTTGTCTCTTATACATAAATGATTTTTTTTCTTTCCTGTAATACATTTGTTTTAAAGTCATAAGAAACGAATCAAACATTATCTAATGCAACTTCTTTTGGAAAAGAATACCAGGACAAAATGTCAAGCTCCTTATTCTAGAAGTTGCACAACAAACTTGTTCAAATCCCTTAAAAAATTGCTGTATTTACTAGAGCCATAATTCCTCTGGAAGAACATCTGAATCAAGCAACAATGCATGAGTTGAATACTCTGTTAAGAAACACATTGAGCCAAATCAAACTTGCCTTTTATTTCTGCAAATATTTTAGAAACAAACTCTTTAGGCTGAATTAATTATTATGGGAGACCCCATTGATTTTAAAAACATATTTTTCCATTTTTACAATACCTGGGATTGTCCTATTACATACGATTTTCATAGTGGAAGGCTGAAATTATATTTGCCACTGGAGTTTGTATGAGTTATCATCTCCACATTAAAGTAAGCCATGAGAGCTTGGGAAGGGTGCAAATCCTAAAATGCTTTCTAGATGAACTCACAACGATTAGCAATATGGCAAAACAATTTGGCAAGTGTGATAAAGGATCTTATTGGATGGAAGCATTGTGAAGTTAAATCTATTTCCCATCCCTCAAAAGAGACATTTCGTAGACCTGCTGGTGTCTTTATCATATTATTCAAGACTCTTAAGACATCTTTCCCAAGTGCATATTTGAAATAATAATAAAAATAGTCTTCCTTATCCCATTAAATGCATTAGGAGCATTATTTCCCCAACTTCAACAATGTAATAATTATTTTAAGCAAGAAATTACTAGCTGGGGCAAAATTCCAACTAGAGGCAAAGGAGCCCTAGTGGCGCAGTGGTTAAAGTGCAGTATTGCAGGCTAACTCTGCCCACTTCCAGGAGTTTGATCCTGATCCATCTTTCCGAAGTCAGTAACATGGGGACCCAGATTATTGGGACAATATGCAAATAATTCTGGCATTATAAACCAGTCACAAATGTAAAGCACTATGGAGCAGTATATAAACCTAAGTGGTATTGCTATTGTTAATACTTTAATTATTGGCTTAATTTTGAAGACGGCATGAAAAATCCTCCTAAGACAAGCACCAATTGCGAGTGACATTGAGTTATTTTATTGACAAGACTAACTTACGAAACATTGTATAAAACTGCTGTGGATTAAGGTTCCACTTCCCCCACGGGGTTTTGTGGCCTTTAGACTGGGCGTAGTGAGCATGATTAAACTCTGGTTCAGTCCCAAAGGAATCTAGCACCCGTAACATACACCTAGAAGGAAAAACAAAACACAATCACAACAGATTATATTAGAAATTGTATCTTATAAAAATGAAACACAATGTAATTTGCATCTTATAAAAATGAAACACAATGTAATTTGTATCTTATAAAAATGAAACACAATGTAATTTGTATTGGCACAATGAGGAAAAGAACTATGCGGAAAAGCAAGGTGCTTGAATAAATTGCAGTGATGCCCCTGGGTACAGGAAGAGATTGTGTCTCATAGGACTTGGGAATTGTGCTCTCAGCCACTTACTGGTCATTGAGGAAGGGGTCTTGTACCCAATGGTGGGTGGTTGAAAAGAAACGAAGAGATCCTTTGTTTCCTAATACACATCGTGCGGTTGAAATATATGCAGAAAGCTCGCCTTACATCTAGATTGTGGCATTGTCGTGCCAGATTTTATGTCGGTTTCAGACAAATGTGCGGGAGTATCAGTTCCTATGGTCTGTGGATACCAAAATTTATCTATGGGTGAAAGATGGATCTGGACTAAGGACCACTTTGTCTGTGTAAAAAATACAGAGCTCCTGTCTAACTGACAAGGCTACTAGATCCAAGATGTAACTGGCCGATGTAATGGCAAACAAGAGAACCACCAGATAGGAAACTATCTGACTGTTAGTGATTCATGTGTCCAGACGGTCCCTGGACTCTGGAGAGAAAAAGTTCCTGGTAGAGGGAACGAAGGAACCTCCAAAAAGCTAGGAAGGACTACTTTGGGTTCTATGAAAAGAGAGGAACTTATATTCTGCTTCTAGTCTCTATGAGAGATAGGTCAGGGGCACCACCAACCAAATTATCTCCATATATTGGGGAGGAAGCAAGCTTCCATTAGTTGTGTGATATCTGCTTGCCAATGTCTGAGCCATAGCAGTAGGCGAGGAGTAACCTGAAATGCCCTGGCTTGAGCAGATAATTTAATAGAGTTTTGCGGCATCCTTGTGTGCCCTGATATTGGAATTTGAGATAATCTCCCTCAGATGGCGGAGCAACGTGAGAGACGATCTAGTAAAAAAAAGGGGGATGAGGCCGTCTCCGCTCTTATGGCCCTCACATCAGATCAACATGCCCTACATGGGGACAACTCGACCCTGTATATACCCTTTGACTTGAGAGCCTCTTCTGCTTCCGTTGGAATTGCAGAGGAGGATGATAATTGCCATTATTGTTTTATCTACGATCGTGGTGATGAGAACTTTAGCAGAATCAGAAAACCAAATTAAAAGTTTTCTATCATATCCTGTAAGAGGGGTATACGCCACGGAAGAGACCCCTTGTTTCTGGACGAGGTCCAAGAACCTCTGTGGGACAGTTATGACTTCCTCTTACATTATTGGTTGGGAGAAGATTAAATCGTCTGACCCCCCCTTACAGTAACGATTGTTGGGCCGAGGGGAATGGAATATCAAGGCAGGCAGTAGGGTTTGTTTTTTTTTTGAAACAACAGAGACTTGAAAAAAGTCTGAGGGCTAAACAGACTTGAAGGTTGGTGGTCTGGCTTAATGCCTTCAATGTCTGACATGCCCCCCTTATTTAGGGGATCCGCCTCTGACAGATTTTGGTCACTATCGTGAGTAGACCCATCCTCAACCTGTTCCATCTGGTCTCTAGTTCTCCCTCATCCTGTGCATCATGTGAATGTGTAACAGGATTATATAATACTCCCCTGAAGGAGGTACCTGCTGGTAATGAAGGTCCATTCTGCATAGTAACTAAATGCTGTGTCCTGCTTAGTGACCGGAGTTATAGGGAATTCCAATCAGAAGGAACACTCTGTTGTTGGCCAGAGCAGTATGCTGCACCCTCGCAGAGATACATTGGCGTATTGCTAATTCCATCCACAGTCTCATCTTCGCGGGGATCTTTTCCGGTAAGTCATCATCTTGATAAAATCTGGCCACTGTTAGAGCAATGTGGCCAGAGAGTCACTTCGAGTCACTTGTACTGATCTAGATGGGCTACCTGATCTTGTACAGCTGCGCTGCGTCTGGATTACACAGACAGATTCAGGGGTGGTTGCAGAGGGTGATTGGAGCCGAAGTAGGCCTGGAGGAGATGAGGTTTGAGAATTTTCTTCATCCTCCCACATGAACTTCTTCATGTGTTTTTCTAGTACCTTATGGCTCATGTTAGCGTCTTTTTCTGCTGCTTAGGAGGTACACTTAGAATGCTTCAATTTGTTTTGAGAATTTGACATGGCTCTTGAGCTACTGCCACTTGCCATTGTGTCCGCTTATTAAATTTTACTGTTAATGAGGCTGAAATGTTGGGCGGTTGGCACGCCCAGGGGCCTGAACCAGCAATGGCCAGGGAACCCTAAAACAATGCTCCCCAGTTTTGTATAATCTTATGTAAGAATATTGAATTCTTATTCTTGTTCCTATTATTATTATCATTATTATTATTTTGTTATTAATATTATTATTTTCGAATTAGCCAAATTTGGAACACCTCACAGGCCTAGAAAGGAGGAATTGTTGAAATAAGATGTAGGCCTGCGACAGCTTCCTGCACAGGTGGACACGGGCCTTGGTGCTCGCTGTGGTGCTGCTGTTTAATTCTGTGAGGGCATAAGCCAACAGTTTCCTCCTTAATGAATAAGGGTCCAAAATAGAATAATTATATCTGAATATCTATATACATACACAAACACATACATATATGTACACATATATACACGCATATAGATACACGCACATATGTATTAGGGTGATTTCCCTCAGGTTCCAGGGAGGAGACCCCTGCTTGGGGAAAGAAAAGCCTCACAGTTCCAGAAATAAAATGCAGATCACTACCGTATGGATAGTGAGTCTGCAATGGCGCCAGCCGTTATCTCTTTAGGCGCGTAATGAGGTAAATCGGCTCAGCAGCACTTCCACGCCTTGTGGGGAGTCGATACTGCAGAGTTTCCCCTTGAATAAAAAGGCGCGGTGGGGCAGATGGGTGCTGATGCCCCCACCCCAGACGGTGTTCCCAGGGGAGAGAAAAAAGCCTCGGATCCTTTTAAAATGGAGCCTCTCCCTTCGGGCGCGGGCGGCAGCGATCATAGCGGCTCGGCTTGAAAAGACTGTAATGGTATGGGCTAAGAAATGTGAATTTTTAGCCATGCGGCTGAGGCGTTATCTCCTCCGATCGTCCTGGGGGCGAGAGATCATTATCTGAAGCTACGGTGAGCTCCCTTGGCTCAAGTTATATTCCGTAAGGAGCTGCTTGACTCATTGAAACTAAAAGCCTTAAAGGAGTTGTTTAGAGTTTAAAAGCAAACCTTTTTGTTGTCTCCTTTTGAAGCCTTTGCTATTCCGGCCAAGGGAAAGGAAATTAAGCCACCTATATCCACGAAGGCTGAGCAAAAACTGGGGACGCTAGGGAGGAGTCCTGTGGAGGAGGAGGAGCGTCCTCTCAATGAAAGCCCAGCCTATCAAACGAGCGACAGAAGCATCATCCCAAACAATGGATGCTCTGAACAGCTCATCTGGAGAAGAGAGAGATATTTTGGAGCTCTGCAGCCACCAGGAGAGTACAGTAGTTGGAAGATATTTTTTCCTCAGAAGGAATGGATGGTCCAAAAGAGAGGAAAACAAGTGCAGGTTGTCCTTGACTTATGACCACAATTGAACCCAAAATACTCACTGCTAAGTAAGACAGTTGTTAGGTGAGTTTTGCTCCCTTTTATGACTTTTCTTGCCATAGTTGTTAAGTGAATCACTGCAGTTCTTAAGTTAGTAACATGGTTGTTAAGTGAATCTGGCTTCCCCATTGGCTGTGCTTGTCAGAAGATTGCAAAAGGTGATCACGTATCCCTGGGACACTGCAACTGTCATAAATGCATGCCAGGTAGCCACCGAATTTTGATCATGTGACCATTGGGGATGCTGCAACAGTCATAGGTGTGGAAAATGGTCATAAGTCCAAAAGATAATATAGGAAGTATTTTATAGCTGCTCCTAGATCTGCGTAAGTTAAAAAAAGATCCACCATTTCTAGTTTTAAACACGGTTTAAACATTTTGTTGTTTTTCCTCTTTTAATGGTTGTTTGGAATACAAATAGACCATAGAAAGTATGATAAAAGAATGCATGGACTTTATATGAAGTACAACATTTATATTCCATATCTGAACAATCTTGGAGAACTTGTAGAGTTCTCCAACACCCTGGCCTTCAGTGAGATATAACTCCAATTTACAAAATTTTCAGCTAATGAAAGCAGCACATATACTGGCTGAGAATTTTAGAATTTGTGGCTTCAACATTCCCAATGAGTGCTTAGTTAAAGAAAACTTAAGATACATGTTAAGATAAATGAGAAATCAAATAAACCAACACAGGTACTATGCTTTAAAAACCTCTGTCAACTGCTTTTCATAAAAATATTTTAAGCAGTAGACCTAGGTTCCACCTGAGTATTTTTTAACGGAACCAGCTTACAATTTCACAGAATAAAGCCATCTGTGCATCTGAATGTTCAAATCACAGGGACGCCTATGTGTGCAAACAGCTGCATATCCATAAAGATTCCTTCATCTAAGCTCAGCAAATATACATCAAGGGCTAAGCCAGGTATGTAATATAGGCTTTCTTTGTCTGTTCTGTCTCAAAATGTTGTGTGTGAAAGCTGCTTGTAAATAGAGTGAAAAATGAAAATGTCAGGATCAAGAGATTAGTATGGAATTAAAAAAAATGTTACAGTTAGTACAGGTAGGTAGTCCTCAACTTACAAGAGCAACTGAGCTCTAAATTTCTGTTGCTAAGCGAGGCAGCTGTGAACCTTGCCCAATTTTATGACCTTTCTTGCCACAGTTTTTATGTGAATCACTGCAGTTGTTAACTTAGTAACACAATTGTTAAGTGGGTCTGGCTGCCCCATTGACTTTGCTTGTCAGAATGTTGCAAAAGGTGATCACATGACCTCAGGACACTGCAACCATCATAAATACCAGTTGCCAAGCTCCTGAATTTTATAATGTGACCATGGGGTCCTGCAATGTTTGTAAGTGTGAAAAACGCTCCTAAGTCAATTTTTTTCAGTGTCGTTGTAACTTTGATCATTAAATGAATGGTTGTAGGTTCAGGGCTACCTGTAAAGAGAATTGTTCTGTAAAGGACAAATACTTACTGATAATGAACCCAAGATGGCCCAAGCGTTTTCTTAAACTGAGTGAGTCCCACAATGTCGATATAAATAAGCTCCACCACTTTATCCCCCTGTGTAGGACAGCCAGATCTGTTACCAACTACCTTCTTCATAATCCTAGCCAAAAAGAAGAAGAGTAAAACACATTTTAAGGAAAATTCTTTTTACAGACAGAATAATTAACAAAATAGTGAAGGCAAGGTTCTTGAAAAGGAACACTACATCTGAAGTTAAGAAGTTTCAGTCATTTTCCCGAAGTAGTCTAACCCAGAAAATTAGCTGTTCTAAAAATGTTAATAATTATTATTAAAAATAAGACTTTCATTCAAAAAGGTACAAGAAAGTAATAACATTTGATAGCCTTATTAATACTTAAGCAAAACATTCTGCTGATACAACTCATAAATATATCCTGGCTTTATTACTTTCGTAAATAACTCAAGGTGGCAAATATACACAATACACAGTACTCCTATTGTTCATATTTTCTTGCTTCCAATCCATCCATCCATTCATCCATCCAATCTCCTGGCTTTATTACTTTTGTAAAGAACTCAAGGAGGCAAACACACACAATATACAGGACTCCTATTTTCCCCACAACCATGTGAGATGAGTGGAGTTGAGAGAAAGTGACCAGTCCAAAGTCATTGAGCCAGCTTCCATGCCTGAAGCAGGAGTAAAACTCATAATCTCCTGGCTTCTAGCCTACCGCTTTAACCACTAGACCAAATTTCTTGTTATACAAGAAGAATTACAACAGGTGGGTTTTTTTTTACAACAGGTAATTTTTCAAGTCAACGGTGCAGATACTTGCTTTCACTGCTTTCTATATAATCAAAGGCAGGGCAGATTTTAGTGACAGCTACAGTCTTATTTGTTTTATAGGAAAGCAACATATAATGACTTTTGGGTTTGTTCTAATAGAGTATGAATAGCTCAACAGTTCTGTGGCCGTATCAGTAATAGTCACTGATTTGTTGCTATTCAGTTAAGTCGTGTTTGATTCTTCCCGATCCCATGGACCACAGAGTGCCAGATTCCCATCCTCCACTGTCTCCCAGAGTTTGCCCCAGTTCATGTTCATTGTGTAAATGACACTATCTAACTGTGGCTTCTCCTTCCCCTTTTACCTACAAGAATAGTCATTGATGTGACATAATGAAGTTTTTCTATTAAATAGCCTCTGCTGTGAACAAGGCAAAGCAACAAAATCTGCAGTTCTCAAGGCCTTTCCAGTGCAATATTCTCAATCAGTAAATTTAGAAATTATGGCTCATATGCAATAAGGTTGTCAAAATAGATCAAAATCATAGTAAAAGAGGTATTTTCAAACAAATTACAGTCAAATTATCCATAACAAGTTTCTTATTAAGAAATAAAGATTCATTTAAGAAAGAAAGGCAACCAATTAAGCCCATTTAGTTTTTCTGCAGATGTCTAACACACCTGTAACGATAGGGAATAAAGCTGCGTAATCTGAATGATCTAGTATTCATTTACTCAAAACTCAGGAGGAAGTACAACTACAAAATATACTATCTATTTCACAATGCATATATTTAGCTTATGAAAATAATTTTTATCACTGTTTAGGGAACTTATCACTTTCACGTCTCTCTCCCGAAAATTATAGGCTGTACAATGAATACTTTGAGAAGAATGGCTCTGCTGCTTCACTTTGAAAGTGGATTATAACCTCCTTACTCCTTGAGTTCTGCCAGGGAAGCCGAAATCCTTATGTCATGGCCCAGTAAATAGAGCGATATGATTAAATCACTCCACTGGACTAGCTCGCCAAGTGGGCCACCACTGAAGGCATTTTCTGCAATCTTGAATCCAGATTCTTTTGTGAGGAGCCCCAGATGAACAAGGACCTGCAAAAGGAAGAGACAATGAGGAACAATTTGGGCACCAACTGTTGAAAATTTATAGTACGAATTTCCTTACTTTAATAACTCTATCCTAGATCTTTGGTCAGTGACAAACCCATATATAACAAAGCTGAATAATATATATATTCCTTAAGTTTTCGCGGGTATTTGTATGTATGGTATTCAGCTTTGTTCGGGTATTTTCCCACGTCATTATAGTTGTGCTTTTTCGGCAGAATCTCATCTGCCATCATCAGGCTTCTGTATAGTGTTTGTCTGTTAGGTTTTCTTTTTCATGGGGCCAAATAACAAATGTGTCATTGATGTATCTTAACCATAGTTTGGTTTCTCCCTATGGGATCACCACTGTCACCCGTCATTGCAAACCTGTTCATGGAAGAATTCGAATCCAGAGCCCTAGCCAATGCCACCCACAAACCCAAACTATTTCCAAACACACCTAAACAGCACACACCCCAAAATCAAATTCACCATGGAAACGGAAACAAACAAACAACTACCATTCCTAGATGTACTAATCTACAAAAAAACAGATGGCACACTAGGACACACCATATACCAGAAGAAAACACACACCAACCGCTACCTCAACGCCCAATCCCACCACCACCCAGCACAGATAAACTCCGTGGCTAAAACACTAATTACCAGAACCAAACGCCTGGCAGACAAGACACACATAAAGACTGAACTATGCACCCTGACTAAAGTACTGATAGCCAACGGCTTCCACAGAAGCAAAATCACAGGCCTCATCCACAAAAACACACTAAGACACAATGGAGACCTAGAAAATGAACAGACCTATGGAACAGCTGTCCTGCCCTACATAAGAGGTACTACAAACAAAATCAGTAAGATACTACACAGGCATCACATCAAGACTGCCTTCAAAACAGACAGAAAAATAGCAGCCATCCTAAGAAACCCCAAAGATAAAATTGACCTGGAAAACCAAGGCATATATGAAGTCCCCTGTGCATCATGCCCTGCCACATATATTGGACAGACCAATAGAAGAATAAGTACCCGCCTGGATGAACACAAAAATGCAGTAAAAATGCTGGAACACACTTCCTCACTAGTCCAACACATGAAAGCCACAGGTCATAGCATCGACTTCAATGGCACCAAAACCCTAGCCACTATAGAAAACCCCAGCCACAGAATTATCAGAGAAGCCATAGAGATTGAAAAAGGACCTGAAAGCATGAATAGAAGAGATGACTCCACCAGACTGTCAATTATCTGGAAGCCTGCACTCTCAAACAAAAAAATCTCCACACCACAAGCCAGGCAAACACCTGGGCACAAACAGACTCCCCCTGATACCTCCAGCTCAAACACACCCCAACCAGGCACCCAGATGAAACCTAGCTTCCTAATAAATGATAGCCATCCGTTTACTCGGAGCTAAGCCGCACTAAAAGCCTCTAATACAGGAAACACAATGTTGCCAATCAAGACAAAAAAAGCCACAAAACAGACAAAAGATATTAGAAACACCAATCAAGCAGAACACAGCAAACTCCAAGACCAATAAACACAGACCAAGACTCCCAACCAATCAGGATGAAGAAAAAACCATTCTGGCACAGCAGATGGCTAGCACCAAATTTAATACTGAAACAGCTGTGAAAGTCTGACTCACAGACGAACACAATACAGAAGCCTGATGATGGCAGATGAGATTCTGCCGAAACGTTGCTACAACTTTAAAAGCACAACTATAATGACGTGGGAAAATACCCGAACAAAGCTGAATGCCATTCATAAAAATACCCCCGAAAACTTTAGAGAATCTTTCTATCTATCTATATCTATCTATCTATCTATCTATCTATCTATCTATCTATCTATCTATCTATCTATCTATCTATCTATCTATCTATCTCTTCATTTCTAGTACAGGTAATCCTCAAGTGAACATCAAGTGATCAAGTGTCTGTTCAAAGATACAATGGCACTGAAAAAACTGGCCATTTTCCACACAACTATTGTAGTGTCCTCAAGATCAGATGATCAAAACTCAGATTGGGCAGCTAGCATATATTTGTGATAGTTGCAGTGTCTCAGAATCATGTGAACACCCTTCGCGACCTTCTGACAAGCAGAGTCAATGGGGAAGCCAGATTCACTTAACAACCGTGTTACTACCTTAACAACTGCAGTGATTCACTTAGCAACTGTGAGAAAAAAGGTTGTAAAATGCAACAAATTCTGCAACAGTCTTGGTTATCAACAGAAATTTTGGACTCAACTGTGGCTGTGAGTCCAGGACTACCTGTACACAAGGACTAAAGTTTTATATTTTAGTTTTCCTTATTGCTTTTCATCTTAAACATCACCGTGTGATGTTTAAGATGATTGTCACAGGATCTAATTTTCCCAAATGTTGTTCTACAGTTATGTTGGTTGAAAACATTGAAAACTATAGTTCTATATTTATGAATGAACATATACATTTATTCATTCATTATTACATGCATGTCAATCAAGTAAATATAATTGTCTTACAAGTAAAACAAAACAAAGAACTTTTTTGTTGTCTTTCATTCAATCATGTTTGGTCCTTGGAGGTTGCCCGGACAAGTCCCTTCAATTTTCTTGGCAAGTTTTTTTTTTAAAGAAGTGTTTTGCTATTGCCTCCTGTCTTGATCCGAAAGAAAGTGACTGGCCCAAAGTTACTAGCTAGCTTCGTGCTCAAGGCAGGACTAGAACTCAAGTCTTCTAGTTTCTAGCCTGATGCCTTAACTACTACACTAAATTGGAACTCTTAAGTAATAGAACTATAAAAATGTAAATAATATTATAATATAATTTAAACAATCATCTGCATATTTTAGCTGTCATAAAACCACAAAAATAGCAGTATTCATATGTTAGTTTTTCATACCCATTCAATCCTTGTATCCCCATTTAAATAACATTTTTGGCAGTATTAATAATAAAGATGCTTCTTATTTATTCTTCATATTTCTAAGGATATCCAGTTCCACAGAAGGAAACGTTAGCCACAAATATATTTTCTCCAAATCAGTTCTTTCTGCTCCTCAAAGCGGTTTATTTTCTACTGATCCAAACTGGGCAGGCATATTTTAATTGAAGCTAGTGATCTCATGGACACTTAGATCCCATGGCCTGTAAAACTTAAGTAAGCCATGACCAGCAGCTTTAATTGCATCCAGAAATAAATTGGTAACAGATTCAGTTCCTGCAGTTCAGGCTTTACAAATGAGCATTTCAACACTGTCAGTTTTCAAACTGCCACATTCTGTACCTGCTACAGTTTGTGGGTGGTTTTCAAAGTTAGATCCATGTTGAGAAAATTGCAATCATCAACACGTGTGGACACATGCAGATGAAATCACCAGGAAAATGCAAAGGTATAATTAACAAGCAAACCCCATGACTCGCTGGGTCTTCATCTCAGAGGTATTTCCTCACTTAAACAATGGAACAGAATGGCCGCATGTGGGCAAAAAAAAGCAGTGAGAATGGGAGGAACTTCCAATTTCCCGCCAGCTTCCCCATTTGCCTGTGGAAAACTGGCAGGGAACATCAGAACCAATCCTTCCTTCCTTCCCTCCCCCCTCCCTCTGGCATGGAGCAGAAAAGATGTGTGGTATCAGTCAGGAAAAGGTATATGAGAGGGGCCACATTGGTTGAGGTGGACACGTGGGGATGATGCAGAGGTCAGACGCACAAGGAGTGCCATATGGGTTGAAGAGGGTCTGCAGGGAGCAGCACGGTTTGGGTGCATTAGATTGCACGACAGATGTCACATGGGAGAGTGCACAGGATGAAGCATGGATTGGAAAGAGTTTGTCTGGTTATGTATGGGAGCCTGAGAAGGGCCAAATAGATCAGGGAAGGCTCCCGAGGGGTGACATGAGTTGGGTACTCAAGACTGGAAGGCAGCATGGTGGTGCTAAGGTGCCATGTAGCTTAGGGAGGGCATGGAGGAGGAAGCACGGGTTAGGAAGGATGTGTGGGAGCAGAGAGCATAAGAGGTGCAGCTTGGGACAGAAAAATTGTATGGGAGGTGGCTGGGGTCAAAGAGGGCATAGAGTGGGCTGAGAAGGGTGTGTTGTGGTTCCTTTCCTTCTTTGCTCAGCAAGCAGGTAAACAGCTGTTGGGAAAGAGAGCAAAGGATTGTGTGAGTGTCCATCTTAAAGGTATCAGGAAATGCTGAATATGAGGTTCACATGACTGTAGTATGATGTGCCACTGAGGAAGCAGCTACTTTCTCAAATTTCAGTCCCTTGGGTATAATGGATCCCAATTTTTTGAAAGTTAGTCCACCTACGGTATCTGCAGTTATGCCCTATGACGCAGCATTTTGCCTAATTCAAGGCTTCAAAGTATCAAACAGACACGAGAATTTTAGCAGTATCTAGATCAGGGGTGGGCAAACTTTTTGGCTCGGGGGCCTCATTGACTTTTAAAATTTGACAGACGGGCCGCTACCTGGTGTCGAAATGCCTGTCATTACAAGTCAAAATCAAATGAATGCAATCATTCAATCATTCACATCAAACCTTAATTCTTCGGCGGGCCGGATTAAAAAGACCAATGGGCCAGATGTGGCCCTCGGGCCGTAGTTTGCCCACCCCTGATCTAGATAGACCATGGGGCTGTGGCACTGAGTTATTGCCAAGAAAAGTAAACCTGTCCATCTCATTAACAGAACTGGACTGCCACTCAAGGGGGCTTTCCTTTTTAGGTATATAGAGTTGCAATGTGCTTTCCAAGTTTAAACAATGTAAAATATATATTTTATGTAGTGAACTCACTTTTTTTCGTTTTCTCTTTTCCAAGTTTTGCTTCTCAGCAAGTGATTTTATTGCTTCTATCCAAGTATCAGCCATCCTTTTTATTCGCAGCACCATCCACCGGAATTCTTCATGTCTTGACATCATTTTATATAGCAAATCAAAATTGGTTCTGATTTCAGCCTTCAACTAAATAATACATTTTAAAAATCAGTGGTAATGCAAAATCAAAATTTCCCTGCATGTGTTTGTGTAGGCGAGAGGTTGTGGTTTCATTTTCATTAAATGTAAGGAACGTACAGATGTTTCAAAATTCAAAAATAGAAAGTTAACGTTAAAAATTAATGTTAAATTAATGTTAAAAATTATTTGCAATACTACTCACAGGTGTCAGAAAATCTTAGCTGAGTTTCTAAATGAAATGTGAAATCTCTCAGCATTTCACATGAGAATACCAAGATACAGAAGGTCTTTCTGAAATCTAGCAATGGCACTTGGGGACACCAAAGTTGCTGACCCTTGAAAAATCCTGATTTATCATATTTGGTTCCCTTACTTATCAAAATTCTAGTGAAGATATGCTACATCCTAACACAGTTCACTGACTACCAATAAATAAAGTTTCTGAACTTAAATCTCAAATACCTTTTGCAAATTCAATAAATCCAGCCATTACAAATTGAGCCATGTGTATGAATATTTGCTGAGTGATTAAATTTTTAACTTTTTTTCTCAAAACCTATTTTCAACACACTGGTATTTTCCATAGTAGTTAAAGGGTGTGTGTGTTTTGGGGGAGATGATAGGGCAGACCATTATCAGAATATCAGCTGATACAATTGCACTAATTCTCTGTGTTGCTATCTATACTTTATTTTTCTTAGTGGAAACATTGAGAAATCTATTTAAAAAAACCTAGAACAATTCCAAAGCCAATTTGAAATGGGAGTAAGACTTACCAATGTCTTCTGATCCATTTCTTCGTTGGGATTTTTTGCTCTCCAGGGTAAACGAGGACACCAATTTTCAACCTGCAAAAGTGTTAGGTTCAGCTTCAAAATCCAGTAAAATGACCAACTGTATACTTTGTTGATGCAATTCCATCCTTATTTAATAGCACACATAATAGAACAGCTAAAGTTCAGCAGGTGACAAAAACGTTTTTAGGAAGATAGCAAAAACAGCCATGAAGTTCAAAAGATACAGGAAATAGCTTCACTTCTAAAGGTTTCCTTCTGTCCTCCAATAAATTGGTTACCTTTTATTAGGTCATATCAGTAACATAAAAACAATAGTTCTCAAGATCTGGAAATAGTCCTATCAGAATATTCACTTAGCCTGGAAAACAGAACAGACCCCAGATTAGCTGCTCTCTCTCTCTATATACATATAGGCCACTACAAATTTTAGAAATGAAGATATGATACTCATCATAGTTAAATTTTTGCCTGACAGGCTACACTGGAGCTAATTAAGCATATAAGAACCCAGGAAATTCTGATAAGGAATTGTATTGAAGAAAGCAAGGAAGTCATTATGAAATAATTCCAGTAACTTGCATGCATCCAATACAAGATTTATAAAAAGTGACAGCAACGTTCCATTTTCCCATTGTTTATTCTGTCTGAATTCTGCAGAAGGCTGACTGCCCCCCCCCCCCTTATTTGGGGAGGGTGGCCTGGTTTCAATCTTTGTCATTTTACAATAACAGCTAGATGTGATATTGGGTTAACTTCTTTCAGTACATGAGAAACCACCCTCCTTTACTTTCTACTGTTTTGGGGCTGAGAACTGAAATTCAAAAACCAGCTGCTGGCTTTCTGTTATCAAATAATGTCTAAAATGCTATCCACAAGATGAAACTATTCACCAAAGGTCTAAGGACTTCCAAATATACATCCAAATATAAATTGTTTACTAAGCAGAAAGAAATCATTAGAAGATAATCTAATTCCTGATAGATAGAACAACCAACTAACTACTGGGAAATAAATGTCATATTTAAACAATGTTTTTGTTCACTATCAATGTTCACTTTCTCAATATACACATACTGGTGGAAGAGACATACACAGTTTTTGGCTATGTGAAAAAAGCCCATTCAAAATATGATTCAGAACTTGAAAGGATCAGTGATGTGATATTACATATTGTACTTCTTTCCATTCAATGGTTTCAATATTTGGGTTTGCTTTCAGTCAGAAAATACTTCACTTCAAAAGAAAAAGAGAAAAAGTGACATGTAAGAGGAAGAATTTGTGTGAGAATAATGAATATTCATTCTCCCTGCGGCCCTTTTGAGTCTTCAAAAGGCCTTGTGCAAAAAATATATCAGCTTATTTCAATATCATTTGCCATGCAGACCAATATTAACATCATGCATTTCTTTATTAGATTGTGGTTTTATTCCCAGAAAAAAAAAATAAAGTAATTTCCTTTGGTCCTTTTATCCTGATATTTTTAAAAACTCCAGAAAATAATACAAACTTAAAAGCCAGAGAAGTAGGTGAATACATATGCTGAAAATGGGTAAACCAATTTTGTTATCTGAAAATAAAATACAGGGATGGCAGTGCTGAAATGGAAAGTATGATGGTGAGAAAAGTAAAAGAAAGTTAAAAAAAAGTAACTCCAGATTAAAGTAAAGCCACTCCAGATTAAATGAAGGATTATTTCACATTCACATAATTTCTACTTATGGGGTGTTTTTTTTCAAGTTTTGCTTATGAAACATATTCTTGGACTGAGCAGTGTCTGCACTGGTAATGTTTCCACGAAGATTGAATGAAGGAAAATGTTCTTACATGTAAAAAAAAAAAAGATAGCCAAAATATTTTGGCAATTTAGTCCACAAGCAACAGAAAACTGAGAAATATTTGGGAGGAGGTAGAGATACTGACCTGGTAACAAAGCCAGTATTAAAAATTCTCATATAACTTTATTTTGTAGATAGTATCCAATCTTGCATATTTTATTAGAATTAATCAATTATCAGTATTGGTTAGATAGGGGTATTTCTACAATTAAACAAATAGAGCAAACAAATCTTCATAAAGTACACTGCTCAAAAAAATAAAGGGAACACAAAAATAAGACATCCTAGATCTGAATGAATGAAATATTCTTTTTAAATACTTTGTTCATTACATAGTTGAATGTGCTGACAACAAAAACACACAAAAATTATCAATGGAAATCAAATTTAGCAACCCATGGAGGTCTGGATTTGGAGTTACACTCAAAATTAAAGTGGAAAAATACACTACAGGCTGATCCAACTTTGATGTAATGTCCTTAAAACAAGTCAAAATGAGGCTCAGTAGTGTGTGTGGCCTCCACGTGCCTGTATGACCTCCCTACAATGCCTGGGCATGCTCCTGATGAGGTGGCGGATGGTCTCCTGAGGGATCTCCTCCCACACCTGGACTAAAGCATCCCCCAACTCCTGGACAGTCTGTGGTACAACGTGGCGTTGGTGGATGGAGCGAGACATGATGTCCCAGATGTGTTCAATTGGATTCAGATCTGGGGAACAGGTGGGCCAGTCCATAGCATCAATGCCTTCGTCTTGCAGGAACTGCCGACATACTCCAGCCACATGAGGTCTAGCATTGTCTTGCATTAGGAGGAACCTAGGGCCAACCGCACCAGCATATGGTCTCAACAAGGGGTCTGAGGATCTCATCTTGGTACCTAATGGCAGTCAGGCTACCTCTGGCGAGCACATGGAGGGCTGTGCGGCCCCCTAAAGAAATGCCACCCCACACCATTACTGACCCACTGCCAAACCGGTCATGCTGGAGGATGTTGCAGGCAGAATGTTCTCCACGGCGTCTCCAGACCCTGTCACGTCTGTCACATGTGCTCAGTGTGAACTGCTTTCATCTGTGAAGAGCACAGGGCGCCAGTGGCAAATTTGCCAATCTTGGTGTTCTCTGGCAAATGCACGGTGTTGGGCTGTAAGCACAACCCCCACCTGTGGACGTCAGGCCCTCATACCACCCTCATGGAGTCTGTTTCTGACTGTTTGAGCAGCCACATGCACATTTGTGGCCCGCTGGAGATCATTTTGCAGGGCTCTGGCAGTGCTCCTCCTGTCCCTCCTTGCACGAAGGCCTGATGCTGGGTTGTTGCCCTCCTACGGCCTCCTCCACATCTCCTGATGTACCGGCCTGTCTCCTGGCAGCGCCTTCATGCTCTGGATACTACGTTGACAGACACAGCAAACCTTCTTGCCACAACTTGCATTGATGTGCCATCCTGGATGAGCTGCACTACCTGAGCCACTTGTGTGGGTTGTAGACTCCGTCTCATGCTGCCACTAGAATGACAGCACTGCCAGCATTCAAAAGTGACCAAACCATCAGCCAGAAAGCATAGGAACTGAGAAGTGGTCTGTAGTCACCACCTGCAGAACCACTCCTTTATATCTTGCTAACTACCTATGTTTTCCACCTGTTGTCTATTCCATTTGCACAACAGCATGTGAAATTGATTGTCAATCAGTGTTGCTACCTAAGTGGACAGTTTGATTTCACAGAAGTGTGATTGATTTGGAGTTACATTGTGTTGTTTAAGTGTTCCCTTTATTTTTTTGAGCAGTGTATATTCTGAAATGGGCAATTATTCAACAAATTGTAACAGTGAGTTTGCTTTTGAATTGTTCCAATTTAAATAATTATTCCTGAAGAAAGAATATTCAGTTATTAAAATGTTATGGCATTGTGCTTACTGACATAGATGCAACTCCTTGAGCCATACAGAACTTCATTCTGATGTATATAAACTGCATGTATAACCATCATATGAGATCATTATCCAGCTCTTCTATGTCTTAGACCAGGGCTGTCAAGCTCAATTTCATTGAGGGCCGCATCAGGGTTGTGTTTGACCTTGGGGGGCCGGGATGGGTGTGGCCAGGGTGGACATGCCCAGCTCAACATCATTCGTGTTGGGTGCTCTTAGGGTGGCCCGAGCACTCTGCCAGCAAAAATGATCTCCCAAGTTCTATTTCTGCCTGCAACGGCCACTTGCAACTCTCTGCCAGTAAAAACCAACTGCAGCTCTCGTGAACTCAGTTTTCAGTTGCAACAACCTCCTGCCACCTTCTGCCAGCGAAAACATAGCTCGGGAGGGCCAGATCTAAGCATCCCACGGGCCAGATCTGGCCGCCAGGCCTTGAGTTTGATACTCCTGTCTTAGAGAAACTAAGTAGGCACAGCACCAGCACAGAAAAGAGTTATAGTCAAGTTAATGTTACAATTAAATATGTTTTCAATATGTTAAATGAAAAGCTACAGTGTGGCACCCCTCTCTTTGGGGGATTTCCATCAGTGATTGTTGAATATAAAATATTAGTTTTTTCCTCCTTAATATATCTAATTTTTTTACCATTAAAATTTCTAGTTCCATTTGTTTCTAATTCTCCTAAAATACTTTAAACATAAACTCTTAATTCTCTACCACTGTCCAAACAGCCATATAAAATGCCAATTCCAAATGACTTTCATCAGCCAGACTAATTCATATATCCCACACTGCTGTAATGGATACAAGAATTTCCTTTCATGTTTGCAATCACTAATACTTAAGTTTTCATATATGGATGCTTATCATAAACCGCAATATGAATGGTAGGATTAAGTGTGCATGCTGAATAACTTGTGATTAAATCCTGATGGCACTTCTTTGCTTCCCCATAGCAGAAGTTCAAACCTTCTGCCAGGTGATCCAGTATCTTTGGATAATATGGAAATGTACGAGCCCTTTGTAATTCAAGAGATGGCTTTTAGTCAGAACATCAGCCATCCAATATTCTAGCTAGTACTGTAGGTTTCAGAAAGAAATAATAAAAGGCAGCCTTTAAAAATTGTTAGTTTTCATTCATAACCACACTAGCAGTAAAGCACAAAGCTCTGCTAAAAAAAGAAAAGAAAAACTGAATTCTACAAGAAAGAGGGTTATAAAAAATTATGTCCCAATGGGATTAAATGCCCCACATACATACATATATCTAAGCCTTAATCTAAGC